CTAAAAAAATCTGCTGAATCAGCGATACAAACATTCGTAGAACCTGCCACAACACAATTTGCAGAACTAGCTACAGCAACGTTTGTAGAACCAGCTACAGCAAAATTTGTAGAAGCAGCTACAGCAAATTTTGTAATGCCAACTTCCACAAAATTAAGAAACGTAACCGTGCAAGTAGTAGACATACTAAAATATCCAGAAACTGTCAAAACACAATTTGCAGGGTTATCTTCACCTCAATTCACAAAATTAGCCGTAGAAAAGACGGACATACAAAAATTTGCAGAAACAGATTCAGCAAAATTTGCAGAACCACATACAACACAAACTGCAGACCTAGCTACAGATAAACTTGAAGAAACAGCCCTAAAAAAATCTGTTGAATCAGCCATACAAACATTTGTAGAACCTGCCACAACACAATTTGCAGAGCCTACTTTGGCAAAATTCGCAGAACTAGCTGTAGAAGAAAAAGAAATACAAATATTTGTAGAGCCACATTAACAATTGTGGCACCAGCACAACAACCCCTTAACCAAGGCCACATATCACAGACGTTACCAATCTGGCTAAGAAAAAAACCAGTCTCCCCAAGGAAGGACAGAGAAAAAAACAGATGCATCACCTGACCAAAGAACAACTCCCGAGTGGCCGCCCAGTCAAACTACCAGTGAGGTTAAGAAACTCAGATGGCGTGACTGATTATTATATCTTATTTATATTTATTTATTTTTTTATCTTATTATTATATCTCATCTAATTTATGTACCAGGATTGTCAATGGTGTAACCTAACCTAACATTTAGACTCTTAAAATATGTAATTCAATTTGTGTAATACCTTGTGACTGTTTCTGTTAAGTGTATTTTCATTTATATTAAAAACTCAATAAAGTTAACCATATTCATTATAACAAGATATCTCTACAACACTTATTTGAAATAATATAGCCTATAGGTATTAAATATTTATTTATTAATGATAAGATTTTGATTAGGTAATTTTTATTTTCTAACTAATTACCAGTAGTCTTGCAGACTTAACTTTTAAATGACACAATTATTATAATTTTATTTATTGTACCTGTAATTTTGCTCTATTTTTGGGCCATCGCCCCTTGTATATGTTAATTATGTTAAATTTCTGTATTATTGTTTATATGATTCACTAACATGAAATAAAAAAAAAAATAGAAATATAGAATAATAATACCAAAGTAACATTTTTTTTTTTTATAGAAAACAATTTATTTGTTCATTTGATTAAATAAACTTTATTTGTTCAAATGTGAAACAATGACAGGTTCCTTCTTTTGCAAAAACTTATATTTTATTAGTTAGACTCTTAGATTAGTAACTATTCTTCTTTATAAAAGTTTTAATTATCTTGGTTAGGTAGCCATTTAATTTTTAAAAACTAGAAAATTAAAGATTTTCAATGTATCTTGAGCTTATATAATCTTATTCAAGATTTAAATATAATTACTCATTATAATGCACTATAAATAACTATTGGTATTCACTTGATAGATGAAAAAAAATGTTGTTGGATTTTTACTAACAGCATAAATTTTATTTTCGGATTATACAGCGTATAAAATATATCATTGAAAAAATTTCTAAAATTATTTTCAAATTAATTATAAATAACTTACACTAATACGCAATATATATTTATTCATAACAATTAAATTTGACAGTTGTGTATAAACAATTATGTTAAAATGAAAAATAAAATACAATTTTTAACTTCCACTGATCTAGACATACTATTACATCAATGTATTTTATAATATTCTCATTTGCCGGTTACCGTACAAGTTTTGGAAATTATTTTAAATTTAACTAGGTAATTAGATAGATCATAAAAATAAAAATTTTATTTTTAAACAGGTTTCAGTGGATAAATAGTGTATCAGTGAAAAGGTTAAGCAAAATAATATTATAGCTTGACCACGATCATTTAAGAATTATATAAATTATATAATTTATGTAATTATATCAATTTGTTTTTATTGTTGACAATTTACCACTGGAAGCAAAAAGAGTGTTTCAATTTGCCGTTCTGCGTGGTAATTCACTTTGATCGGGAACAAGGAAATAATGTTAAAATTCCAAGACGCGCCAGCCAAATCTGACCTTGTTGGTATTTAGGTTTTAGAACTAAAAATATACTAATAAATTGTGCACGACAACATATTTGGAAAAATTAAATAGTAAGTATGAAGTCACATGTAAGCCTTGGTTATGTTCGAATAAATGGAATGGACAAACAAAGAAATATTATTTTATCGATCTTCAATGACTATGTAATGATTTTATAGCTAACAACAACTTCTTAGCTCTCGCCAACTTAGCCACACTGCGATAATTGGTCGCTCATCTGTAGTGGATAAGCTGAAATCTACCCCACCTCGCTGTCTGCAGATCAAGACCTATACATTTGTCCAGGGCCGTTTTTAGGGATTTTTCGCCCCCGGGCACAATATTTATGGCGCCCCTTTCCAACACATTTTTTTAATACCATAGAAGTGGTGCCTAAATTTTATTTTTTTGGGGGCGGGGGCATAACATTAATTCATTTTTTATGTTTCCCTTTCTCATTGAAATTTAATTTGCAGTTAATTTTTAGCAATTTTAACTAGGTACCTATGCGTTCCAATAATAGATTTTTAATAGTAGGTAAACTATACAAAAAAAACATAAGTAACTAGTTTATAACTTAGGTCTTAGGTACTATCTACCTAGAATCTTCCATGATTCAAATAATAAAGAATGATATACAATTAATAATATGTACTATAATATAGTAATATAATAATATTTATTGTTTATTTTACAATTTTTTTCTTGATTGAATATCAGCAAAATGATCTATAATATCTTCATATTTAATTTGTTTTGTTATTTCTGATTCAATATTTAATATTGCATGTGAGTTTAATCTTTCTTTAGAAATTGTTGACCTTAGGTATGTTTTTATTCAGCGTAAAGTTGAAAATGACCGTTCAGCGGTACAGTTTGAACAGGGAGTACTTACATAAAAACATGTGTAAAGCAAAGCAATACTAACACACGGGTAAATGTCTTCTGATCCTTCTATTTTTAACATAGAACTCATATTAATTATAGTTGATGGAGAATTTTTCATACTTTGAATATAACTTTGAAAATGAACACATTCGTTAATAAATGTTACATCCAAATCTTTTGTATACATTGAGTACAAATGTTCAGCTAAAACACGTACTTCTGATGGTTTTATCTTTGTGAGTCTTAAAAAAAAACTATACTTTGTTATGACATTATCGTAAGCTAACTTTCGACTTGTTAATTCTTCTATTATAGAATCACAAATCACTAAATATGTGTTTACTTTGAATTCCAAACTATGGTTTCTACTTTCTCACTATGCTCTTCTCTTTTAAGTTTAAACATGGTATTTATTTCGTTTGTTTTTTTTATAACTTCATTAGGTTTTTCCTTCTTTTTTTTTTGCCTCCTTACCATTGCATACACCACTAGCTTTGACTCTTTTTAGCTCCATTAAAGTATAATTTCAACTAAAAAATTGTTATGACACAATTAAACTTATCTAGTCTTACTTATTAATTATTATTTACCTACTTGCCACTATGGCTAAATTACTGCATTCAATTCATATGTATAATGTATAAATATATAAACATATAAATATATCCAATAATTGTATGCAGATTTGCAATGTAATTTAAGTGAACCTAAACTGTGTAATTGTAGTGTACCTACCTTAACTGGCACAACCTTACAATATCAATTATAAAGTTGAAAGTTTTAATATTATTATAAATAATATAATAATAATAATAATATTTTATTTTATATAACAATTCAAAAAAAAGTAAACTCTTATTTCTATTATATTAGTACACTTATTGAGATTTAAATTATGTAGGTACGGAGTACGTAGTCACTGACATATAGAGTTTAGCAAGTTGTATAATATGAAATGACACAAATGTATTTTAGTAGCCAGTAAATAAGTACAATCGATAATCCACATATCGCAGACATTACCATTCTGGCTAATACCAAGCCAAGACCAGTCTCCCCAAGGAAGGACAGAGGAAAAAACAGATGCATCACCTGACCAAAGAACAACTCTGAGTGGCCGCCCAGTCAAACTACCAGTGAGGTTCAGAAACTCACCCCTCACTGAAGGAGGAGTGTGTGGTGCAGATGACCAGACTGATTATTATATCTTATTTATATTTATTTTTTTTTTTTTATCTTATTATTATATCTCATCTAATTTATGTACCAGAATTGTCAATGGTGTAGAAACCTAACATTTAGACTCTTAAAATATGTAATTCAATTTGTATATACCTTGTGACTGTTTCTGTTAAGTGTATTTTCATTTATATTAAAAACTCAATAAAGTTAACCATATTCATTATAACAAGATATCTCTACAACACTTATTTGAAATATAGGTATTAAAAATTTATTTATTAATGATAAGATTTTGATTAGGTAATTTTTATTTTCTAACTAATTACCAGTAGTCTTGCAGACTTAACTTTTAAATGACACAATTATTATAATTTTATTTATTGTACCTGTAATTTTGCTCTTTTTTTGGGCCATCGCCCCTTGTATATGTTAATTATGTTAAATTTCTGTATTGTTATGTACTGTACTAAATAAGGAATCTTATTCCGTAAATTAATTAATAAACAAATAAACAATTTCATATTTAATTGTTCATCACCACTACCACCCCGCAAAAATACAATATTTATTTAACAAAGCTATGAAGTAATCAAAATAAGGCTAAACTTTAGTGTAGACTTTGACGCCACTGTCTCTACCCCTCTGAAAAGTTGATGCAGCTGTGTCAAAATTAACATGCCACTACTTATTAGTTATTACTAAAATATCCAATTTATATGTATGTGCTATACATTCATATAATATTTAACATTTTAGTATTATTTTTTTTTTGATTTAGGGTCCATCATGGCTGTTTTGTCATCTAATCAGCATGCTCCAAATAAAGCTACTCGTTTTGTAGGTATATGCATTCAACGTTTAGGATGTGGCCTCAGAGCTAATTTTACCCTTAGAAACGTTATTAAGCATATTGGTAAGTGAATACATATAAATGTGGTATGTTTTGGATTATATATTAATGAAAGTTTAAATTATTTAAAATATAGGTACGGAAATGAAATATCAACTTTATGATCCGACTATACCAAAGATTGAAGTTTTACTCTTAGAGAAACGTCTTGATGATGAGTTGTTATACCTGAGAGATGCACCTAATGAATATAGTACATTTGATGAAAATATGGAAGTTGATTATTTACCCGAAGGAGTACCTGTACCGGTGAACCCTGAAATGGTAAAATAAATAATTAAAACAACTAATTTAAGAAATGACAGTAAAATATTTTTTTTTTAGGTTAAACTAAAACCTAGACCTTGGCATGCTAGGTTGGAAAGAAAAAATATGAAAGGGCTAGCTGACTTAGGGCTAGAAGATCGGTTTTATGAAAGAGCTGAAGAATTAGCGACACCCTGGGAGAAATATGACTTAATGAAACAGTATAGGTAAATTACATTTTCTACTTGTTGGCAATATATTTTTAATATTATCTTTGGTGTTATAGGAAAACAATACCAGAAGAAGAACAAAAAGAAATATTTGCCGAAGTATATTCAGAATTACACGAAGTTGAAGTAATGCGCAAGAAGTTGAAACGGAAAAAAGTTTTTATTAAGCCTACCAAAAATGTATAGAATAAAATTTTAAATAATGTACAATACAATATCTAAATAAAGATTTTATTTTCATCTATGAATATATTTTTATTTATGATCTAATAATCATATAAAAAAATATTATTTCACTTGATTGGTGGGCCTATTTGGTTTTCCAGTGTTAGCTCTGTTTATATGTTTTCGTTCACTAGTTTCAATAGTATGATGTTATTTTTGATATTAGAGTGAATTATTTACCTATTATTAAACTTTTAAGTAAGTGACATTATCTGTACTGAAGTGTCGGCTTTTATCTGATTTTTTAATATTCAAGCGAGATGAGCATTTATAATTTGTGATATTTCACATAACCATTTCTATATTGAAAATAAAAATAACTAAAAATTTTCTGACGCTTATGTTCAGATAATGTTCTTACCCAGAAGTTTTATAATAGGTCAATTTAGGACTGGAGTTATTTTTGGAATTTTAGAATACCGTGAATTGGTACCATAACTACCAAAAGTATCGCACAACAGGTAGTATCGGTAATAAACAAATACCAGATACCATTATCAAAATTTGAAACACCCTACATCAAGTTATTCTAATATCAAAACTAACAAAATACTATTGAACAGAAATTTTCCATGTAGAATGTGTGTAATACAGAGGCAACAAATGCATAGGTATCGTCCTCTTAATTAATTTGATGTTCATGAAGTAGATGACTTATTACAATACCCAAGATCGGTAGATCGTAGATTTTAAGTACCCTTGTGTCGCCACTCTATAACTACATTCTATTACATACAGAATATTATATTATTATTTTGTTCATTTTTAGGTACTAATATTTTTACATTGTTAAGAAAATTAATTGCTCACAGTCTTTTCAAATTTCAAGGAATTTGAACATTTTTACACTACTGTTGTATAAATTATTAAAAGATAAAATTCTAAAGTATTTTAGATTCTGAGTGAAACGATGAATGTATTGATTTTACAATGATGTGTGTTTTTATATTTTTTTTTTAATTTTTAATTTTTTTTTGTGTCTGTGTACACGATAAGTAGTCGAAATAATGCTTCGATTTTCGACTTCAGTATCTTGTTCGATTGGAAAGTGAATATCGTTGGTGCATTGGGGAGGTCAAAATTTAAAATTCCCAGTACTTTTCAAAAGCACCAAGAAAAACAAAAGAAAAATTAAGGAAAAACGGAAATTTTTACGCAAAATCGATTTTTCAGAAAATTGAATTTGGTTTTTGGTGTAACTTTAAAACAAATGACCGTAGATACATGAAATTTTCACTGGTTGTTTATATTTGCATTTTCTATACACGATAACATTTTCAAAATATTTTGATTTATTTTGAACTGTTTAGGGACACTTTCATTTTTCATTTTTTTTTAGTTTTTTTTTCTAGAAATATCAATAAAATTTTATTTGTTTGTTAAAAAAACTTGAAAATTTAATAGAAGGCTCCTAGTATATTTTTTCAAAGATAGATGAAAAATATTAAAAATCGTTAGTCACAGTTTTTTTTTATAAGCATTTAAAGTTCAAAAATTGACAAAATATGGAAAAATCACGAAAATTAGCAAATTATTTTGAGTTAAGAATTCGTAAAAATTTTTCTTTTTAAATCTAAGATTTGAAAATCTAATACAAGGTTACTCATAAGCAGGGCTCGGAAGTTGTGGCAAATGCATATTTTTTTTGGTTTGTCCTAGAACACCCAAAGTAAGATATAAATATGTTTCACACTTATCTGATGTCATACACGAAATTTTATTTTGCCATTTTTTGCATATTTATGATTTTTATTGCTATTTTGCCATTTTAAGGTTTTTAGTGCTATTTTTGGGTATATTATCAGATAATTTGGAAAATAACCACATTTAGTTGAAAATAATGATTTTATTTGGTTATATTTTTAAAAATATTCAAATTATTGGAAATAAAGCGAATAATATTTCATGTTTTTACAGTTCTACAATTCATCGACGGTCCGATGTATTAATAGTTATATTATAATAATTTTTTTTTGTAATGAATAATAATTAATAAAATAATAACATTTAATTTTTTTTTTGTAATAAATTTATAATTATAATTTTTTCAAGTTAAATGCATATTTTTTGATTTTTCGTGCTATTTATAGCGCATATTTTAGAGTTTTTTAGTGCTTATTAAGGAGCTAAAAATTACCATTTTTAGTGCCACAACTTCCGAGCCCTGCTCATAAGATTGTCTACCTTTATCAATAAAAAAATCTCTACCGGAAAGTCAAATTAAATTTTTATGAGCGTTTGAAATTCGAATTTTTACAACTTTGGATATTCACTTGATTTCTCATGATGCGATTTTCTAATTTTGTTGTAATTCCAAAACGAATAACTATAGATACATGAAAATTTCACTGAATGTTCAGATTAGCATTTCCAATACACTGTACAATTTTGAAAATATTTCGACTCTATTTGAGCTGTTTACGGACATTTTCAGTTTACAATTTTTTTTATAAGCATTTAAAGATCGAATTTTGACAAAATGTATCAAAATCTCGAAAATTATCAATCATTGTAATTAATAAATTATAAAATGTTCAGTTTTTATAGCTAAAGATTGCAAATTTAAAACAAAGTTTCTCATAAATAGTTCATTCTGTAACCAAAAAATCCAAAAATTATAATATGAACACAGTTATTTTTTACAGACATTTTAAATTCAAATTTGGACGAAATTACATATTAAAAAACCTAGAATAACTATTTTAGTTATTTTGTTGTGATTGAATAATATTATTCGTGGGTACTTGAAATTTCTAAAGTGTACTATAATATATCTATGATAGTATCACGGTTTTTGTTGATGTATAACGCGTTGACAGTACCTAATGGATATTGTGATATGATTAATTTGGAATTTATTATAGGTACCTATTTTAGGTCAATTTTTTGTTTAATACCATAGATATGTATATAATATGTCTTATACATAGACTGACATACCGTCTCCGCTCAGAATCGTTTTTCTTATACAATGATATTACAGTAAAACTTCCATTAACGGTCACCTCTATAAGACGGTCACTTCTATGTAGGTAACGGTCACTTCTATGTAGGTAACGGTCAATTTTTTTGGTCCCGTCGAGTGTTATCCTAGTGTTATCCTACCTCTGTAGGACGGGCACCTCTAAATAGCGGTCATTAATTAAGGTCCCTTCGGTGGCCGTTATATGGAAGTTCTACTGTATATCGTTGAATTCAAATTTAATATCATCCATTATACAGTGACCCACTTGTAACCTACTGTACAGCAGAGCGACACCCACTTGCCCACCTTTTTTACTTTTGTATTACAAAATTTACCGAAGAACTATAAATATAGTAATATTTTTGCAAGGAGCCGTAACTAGTGAATTAGATATTTTTGTTGATAAACTTTAACTTAACTAGTTAAAATAAAATAGATTATTAGAAAATAACTTAGTTAGTAACAAACTTATTTTATAAATAATTGGAACTTCACTTAGTTATTTTGTTAAAATTAAAGTTATTTATGAATAATGAACTGTACATCTTTTGCATTGATTTTCAACAAAAATAACAGTTACGTAAATATTGTTATAACATGACAAGGTGGACATGCATTTTATGAATAACCCACATGAGTCTTGTATGGTAAGTCTAAAATACTGAGCAACACCCGGAAGGCCGGAAAGAGCAATATCTAGCAACAATTGTACTAAACACATTATAACTATAGTGACTAAAAATTATAATTGCGTATTTTGAAACATAATAATTAGGAGGTTTAGGTATTTATATTTTCTCCAAAATCACAACATCTAAGTCCTAAGTTGTCTGTTAATTTTAATTGATAGTAATAAAATCGCCAGAACAACGGGCTTAAATTCTGATGTACCTGCATACAGTATATTTTCCTACTAACAACACTTTTCAATGACATGCAATAAAACCTCTTATAATCATATAATGGCTCGTCCATAAGACGAAAATCTACTTACAACGGACAATAAAAACAGTTCCGTAAAACCTATTTACCGTATATTTTAGTCTCCCTATAACGGAAAATCAGTTAATACTAAGCCATTCCATTATAGGGTTTTACTGTAATATTACATAAAAAAAAACTAACTAACTTAAGTTATTATTTTCCTGAAAATCTGTAACTCATGTTGGTAACTTAATCAAATTAATTTATATTTAAAAAATAACTTTAACTAGTTAAAAAACATTGGTTAACTTGCCCAGATTTGTATGATTCACTAACATAAAATAAAAAAAAAAATAGAAATATAGAATAATAATACCAAAGTAACAATTTTTTTTTTTATAGAAAACAATTTATTTGTTCATTTGATTAAATAAACTTTATTTGTTCAAATGTGAAACAATGACAGGTTCCTCCTTTTGCAAAAAAATATATTTTATTAGTTAGACTCTTAGATTAGTAACTATTCTTCTTTATAAAAGTTTTAATTATCTTAGTTAGATAGCATTTAATTTTTAAAAACTAGAAAATTATAGATTTTCAATGTATCTTGAGCTTATATAATCTTATTCAAGATTTAAATATAATTACTCATTATTATACACTATTAATAACTATTGGTATTCACTTGATAGATGAAAAAAAAAGTTGTTGGATTGTAAAATTTTTACTAACGGCATACATTTTATTTTCGGATTATACAGCATATGATAATATATCATTGAAAAAATTTCTAAAATTATTTTCAAATTAATTATAAATAACTTACACTAATACGCAATATATATTTATGCATAACAATTAAATTTGACAGTTGTGTATAAACAATTATATTAAAATGAAAAATGAAATACAATTTTTAACTTCCACTGATCTAGACATACTATTACATCAATGTATTTTATAATATTCTCATTTGCCGGTTACCGTACAAGTTTTGGAAATTATTTTAAATTTAACTAGGTAATTAGATAGATCATAAAAATAAAAATTTTATTTTTAAACTCTTTCTAACTCTTTTTGATCTGATTACGGACATTTACAGCTTTCAATTTTTTTTAGTTTTTTTTTCTATAAATATCAATAAAGTTTTATCTGTTGGGCCAAAAAGTGTAAAAATTTAACCCAAAGCTCCTAATATATTGTTACAATATCAGTTGAAAAATATTAAAAATACATAGGCACAGTTTTTTTTTACAAGCATTTAAAGATCGAATTTTGACAAAATTTATCAAAATCTTTAAAATGATTAATCATTGTAATTAATAAATTATAAAATGTTCAGTTTTTATAGCTAAGGATTGCAAATTTAAAACAAAGGTTCTCATAAATAGTTCATACTGTAACCAAAAAATCTAAAAAATATATGAACACAGTTATTTTTTACAGACATTTTAAATTCAAATTTGGACGAAATTACATATTAAAAAACATAGAATAACTATTTTAATTATTTTGTTGTGATTGAATAATATTATTCGTGGGTACTTGAAACTTCTAATGTGTACTATTATATATCTATGATAGTATCACGGTTTTTGTTGATGTATAAAGCGTTATAAGTACCTAATGGATATTGTGATATGATTAATTTGGAATTCATTATAGGTACCTATATTATAAGTCAAATTTTGGTTTAGTACAATAGTACCATAGATATGTATAATGTATATAATATGTCTTAAACCTAGGTCCTAGACTGACATACCGTTTCCGCTCAGAATCGTTTTTCTTATACAATGACATTATATCGTTGAATTCAAATTTTTTAGTAATTAATGACTAAATAATTTTAATAATTTGAGTAATTTTACTAATTATATTTTCCATTTAATATATAGTGCAACATGAAGTGATTGAAGTTGAAGCGACTGATGGTATACTGTTTAAAAAAATATCATAAAAGGTCATGTTCAATTATAGAAAAAAAATTTGTTTTTTTACAGACAATGTTCAGTTTTGGCCTGTAGGTGAACGGCCACATTCATATAGTTTGATACCAGGTGTTCATCAACAAGGACATATTATTAAAGACAACCTAGGGTTTCTTTACTTTAAAAGTAAAATATTAGAAGACAAAGTGTAAGTCATAAAATATTTTAATAAGACTATTTTGCGTTATCATTTGAAATTCAGAGTTAAATTAATAAATTATTTCTTTTAATTTAGGTACTCAAAATGTAAAGAGAGATGCCCAGCCACGGGTTCAATTTCTTCTGATGAAAATAATAAACATTTTCAACTGCGGACGTTACATATAACCATGACGTGCGACCATCAGATACAGAAATGAGGGAACTCCTCAGTTCAATTGGAAATCGATGTGTTCAACTAATTGCTCGGCCATACTCAGCACGATCTTTATATGTAGAAGCAATTGTTAGGTAACTTTAAAAATAAATTAACTTTAAAATATCCATCACATACCTATATAAAATAACTGTTTATAACTGTTTCAATACTTACTTATATATTATATTTTCTATTTTAATTATACTCAACCAAAATAATAAAGGTGGGCATTAACTTGTTAAAAAGTTAAAATGTTAATTTTTTTTAAATTTTTTAACTAGTTAATTCATTATCAGTTAATGACAGTTGACAGTTAATCATTGTCATGCAGTTAAGTTAATTTTCTTTTCGTGTCATACATAATCAACTAGACAAAACTGATTCGTTGACACTTTTTCGATTTTGGTAATTAATTTTCAAATAATATTTTTACACAGTGTCAAAAGTCTTGGTAAATGTTTGTGTACAACAAAATACTAGGGCTTATGACTTAAAAAACTTGAAAAAAAATAAACTTTTTTTTAACCGAGTTAAGTTTATTTTATTTTCTTTCTTTTCTTTAAACTTAACAAGTTTTTTTTTTTTTTTTGTTAAATAATTGTACTAATAAACCTATTACCTAATACTTTGTAGTTTAGTAATTAGTAGCATTTTGTACTTACTTACCTACCCCTACATAATTACAGAAATACATAATAATATAATATTCATTAATCATTATTCACATCACGTGGTCATGGTCTTCGTTTCACTAAAATTATTTAGTGATGGTCAAAGGTTGGCAACACCCTTGTAGTCGTATAACCTTAAAATCTAACCGCCGGGCTACCATATAATTTTTCTGACAACAAACATTCTCCGAAGTAGTTTATCTTTTTCCATGAGCGTCAGTCGAGGCGTCTTTTATTTTACATCGATTCGCCTACAAATCATTGTAAATTGTAATTTGTAACATGGCTGCGTGAAGCGTTTGGAAGAACGTTGTTCAATATGTTGTGGATAGTGTGGATTCGCACCCGGTAATATTCCTACATTTTGAACGTTTTTTGAATACCTAAGATTAATAATAATTTTCTTTACAGTGCTCCGGGTATGCAGGTCGTTTAGCAATTCTCCGTCTATCCTCACTGGTAGTTTGACTGGGCGGCCACTCGGGAGTTGTTCTTTGGTCAGGTAATGCATCTGTTTTTTTCTCTGTCCTTCCTTGGGGAGACTGGTCTCGCCATGATCCTAGCCAGATTGTTAATGTCTGCGGTATGTGGCCTCTGTTAAGGGGTTGTTGGGCTAGTGCCACAATTGTTAATGTGGCTCTACAAATATTTGTATTTCTTTTTCTTCTGCAGCTAGTTCTGCGAATTGTGCCAAAGTAGGCTCTGCAAATTGTGTTGTGGCAGGTTCTACAAATGTTTGTATGGCTGATTCAGCAGATTTTTTTAGGGCTGTTTCTTCAAGTTTATCTGTAGCTAGGTCTGCAGTTTGTGTTGTATCTGGTTCTGCAAATTGTGCTGAATCTGTTTCTGCAAATTTTTGTATGTCCGTCTTTTCTACGGCTAATTTTGCGAATTGAGGTGAAGATAACCCTGCAAATTGTGTTTTGACAGTTTCTGGATATTTTAGTATGTCTACTACTTGCACGATTAGGTTTTTTAATTTTGTTGAAGCTGGCATTACAAAATTTGCTGAAGCTTCTTCTACAAATTTTGCTGTAGCTGGTTCTACAAATGTTGCTGTAGCTAGTTCTGCAAATTGTGTTGTGGCAGGTTCTACAAATGTTTGTATGGCTGATTCAGCAGATTTTTTTAGGGCTCCATCATCATATCGCTATTATATAACTTGTCATTACATCATTATCATGTCGCATATACCTAAAACAACGAAGCGAAACAGTTCGCCCAGTCAAATCGACAAAATCACAAAAGTTTTGTCACCCCGAACCGCTACGCCGTACTTAACACCGACGAAGACAAAGTACTCACCACACCTTCAACTACCATCACGAAAGATCCGGACAGACCACCTCACAAAGTTCACAACGCTAAGCCGGGGCCTCTCCTATCCACCGGATAAAATGGTTTTACCTGTAAGTCAACCCCGTCATACCTCATTGTACAACCCACCGATAAACAAACTTACAACACAATAAAAGATCATTTACAAAAATTTTCAGAAACAAATTCATCAAAATTCGCAGAACCACATACAACACAAACTGCAGACTAGAAGAAGCAGCCCTAAAAAAATCTGCTGAATCAGCGATACAAACATTCGTAGAACCTGCCACAACACAATTTGCAGAACTAGCTACAGCAACGTTTGTAGAACCAGCTACAGCAAAATTTGTAGAAGCAGCTACAGCAAATTTTGTAATGCCAACTTCCACAAAATTAAGAAACGTAACCGTGCAAGTAGTAGACATACTAAAATATCCAGAAACTGTCAAAACACAATTTGCAGGGTTATCTTCACCTCAATTCACAAAATTAGCCGTAGAAAAGACGGACATACAAAAATTTGCAGAAACAGATTCAGCAAAATTTGCAGAACCACATACAACACAAACTGCAGACCTAGCTACAGATAAACTTGAAGAAACAGCCCTAAAAAAATCTGTTGAATCAGCCATACAAACATTTGTAGAACCTGCCACAACACAATTTGCAGAGCCTACTTTGGCAAAATTCGCAGAACTAGCTGTAGAAGAAAAAGAAATACAAATATTTGTAGAGCCACATTAACAATTGTGGCACCAGCACAACAACCCCTTAACCAAGGCCACATATCACAGACGTTACCAATCTGGCTAAGAAAAAAACCAGTCTCCCCAAGGAAGGACAGAGAAAAAAACAGATGCATCACCTGACCAAAGAACAACTCCCGAGTGGCCGCCCAGTCAAACTACCAGTGAGGTTAAGAAACTCAGATGGCGTGACTGATTATTATATCTTATTTATATTTATTTATTTTTTTATCTTATTATTATATCTCATCTAATTTATGTACCAGGATTGTCAATGGTGTAACCTAACCTAACATTTAGACTCTTAAAATATGTAATTCAATTTGTGTAATACCTTGTGACTGTTTCTGTTAAGTGTATTTTCATTTATATTAAAAACTCAATAAAGTTAACCATATTCATTATAACAAGATATCTCTACAACACTTATTTGAAATAATATAGCCTATAGGTATTAAATATTTATTTATTAATGATAAGATTTTGATTACCTAGGTAATTTTTATTTTCTAACTAATTACCAGTAGTCTTGCAGACTTAACTTTTAAATGACACAATTATTATAATTTTATTTATTGTACCTGTAATTTTGCTCTATTTTTGGGCCATCGCCCCTTGTATATGTTAATTATGTTAAATTTCTGTATTATTGTTTATATGATTCACTAACATGAAATAAAAAAAAAAATAGAAATATAGAATAATAATACCAAAGTAACATTTTTTTTTTTTATAGAAAACAATTTATTTGTTCATTTGATTAAATAAACTTTATTTGTTCAAATGTGAAACAATGACAGGTTCCTTCTTTTGCAAAAAATTATATTTTATTAGTTAGACTCTTAGATTAGTAACTATTCTTCTTTATAAAAGTTTTAATTATCTTGGTTAGGTAGCCATTTAATTTTTAAAAACTAGAAAATTAAAGATTTTCAATGTATCTTGAGCTTATATAATCTTATTCAAGATTTAAATATAATTACTCATTATAATGCACTATAAATAACTATTGGTATTCACTTGATAGATGAAAAAAAATGTTGTTGGATTTTTACTAACAGCATAAATTTTATTTTCGGATTATACAGCGTATAAAATATATCATTGAAAAAATTTCTAAAATTATTTTCAAATTAATTATAAATAACTTACACTAATACGCAATATATATTTATTCATAACAATTAAATTTGACAGTTGTGTATAAACAATTATGTTAAAATGAAAAATAAAATACAATTTTTAACTTCCACTGATCTAGACATACTATTACATCAATGTATTTTATAATATTCTCATTTGCCGGTTACGCAGTAAGTTTTTTGCTCATATCGGCTTTGCTTATTGAAATTTTGGAATTTTTAATGACGACTGTGTCCTCTGCAATGGATTTTGAGATTTGCCATGGAATATAAATGATAGATATTATACTAGGTATACGTGAATAAGATGAATCCACGGATATCATATAGGTAACGCAACTTTTTATGTCAAAGAGTTCCGTGTTAAGGAACAATATTTGTTCGTTGAAATTTTATATGGCAAAAATCAAAATAGTTTATAATTTTGAATTTAAATTATAATAACATTAAATATGATATATTATTTTAATTATTTATTAATATGGTGAATATATATCAGAAGTACAAGCATATTTTTATGAAAGCATAATATTGTATTTTTAAAATCATTAAATGAAAATGTGATTCCTGGATTTTAGAGTTAACATAAAGATATACAGTACCTATAATTACATTAAATTTACAGTACCTACCACGATACCAACTAGATTTGTAAAATTCCAAGTCTAACATTTTCTACGAATAGATACTGCTGATCACAAAATTATTAATTATTATTTAATATTATGTTAATTTAATTGTATCGGGTACCTATAATTTATATTTTAGATTCTGAGCGGAGCAATGAATATTTTGATTTTACTATGATGTGTATTTAATTTTTAAATTTTTTTGTTATTATTTCTTTTTTGTGTTTGATGCGTACACGATAAGTAGGTAGGTCAAAATAAACCTTAGTGTTCCATGCATAATATAATTTATAGGTACTCTGTATGTAATCAATGATCATACTGTTTATTTTTAAGTTTCTTTGTATTTAGTAAATAATAATATAGGAAATTGTATTTTCGAACATTAATTTTTTGTTTGTATTAAATACTTTCACCATAATAGGGAACTTAAATTGTCATTTATCGTTAAAACAACAAATTTTGTGAAAAATTCAATTTTGGTAGGTAAGTGTTTTGTGTAGGCATAATAAATGTTACATTAAAATTTAAAAAATTCAAAAAATTACATTAATTGGATTTTTAATTATATAATATAGGTACTACAGTTTCCAGCTTCTACTACAACATTACGTTATATTATGTTTTTAACTATAAAAATGCCTAAAAATAAAACGTAAATCCCAAAATAATATGAAATTATGAAAACAAACTTACGCTGAAACATCGACTCTCCCGGTGAAACCTAGCTAGAGTGCATCATCAACAATGCAAACGTCGAGTACGTGACGCCACCGAAGAAACAGCTATCTTCATCTCGTTCCTAACTGTAACTTGAAATTATCGAAATATTTAATAAAAATTACCTGAACATAACGAAATGTGCGAATTCGTGTTAAAACTTACATAATAATATATACGGCTTAACGAACTATCTGTCCATATTGATGGCTTATTATTTTTTTTTTCACTAAAATTATTAGAATTGTTAATCGTCGCAGACGAATGTCGACAATTGGCGATTGCCATAGATGATATAAAATATATTTCTTAATATGATAAATCCGTAGAACTTCTACACTCAGCACATAAACGGTCAATTGATAAATCGTGTGTTATTTTACGGAAATGATTGTGGTCTGACGTCTGCAATGTATTCTTGTTTTCTATTTCAGTTATTTATCGCATACTAAATTTAACCAAACAAATTAGTCCGCAAATTTATAGACATCACAAATATATAATATAAATTATAATTTACAGTAGTTTATATCTATGATAGACATTCTAATATCTAATGCATTCTCCCGCCGGAGGCCATATACTCCATAGACCCAGTTCAGGGGAAGTTAAATTTTTACCTACAAATTTATAAAAAAAAAGTGGTTGGGGCAAGAAACTTTATGATTTTTAAACTGATAAATAATTTACAAAATAATTAAACCATATAGTTTAGCACCCAAGCAAATTTTTCAATTTTTTTGGAAATCATTAGTTGTTATCGCATAAATTAACGATGTTCACGATTTTCGGTGCTTTACGCACCCGTACAACGCTTAAAGTTTACCTAGCTTAAGTAGGTATAACAAATAACAATTTTACGCTACCCGGCGTATTCACTTGCACGCAGTGGTCGCTCGGACAATTATAATTAAAAACATCCCTCGACTTGTTATGTAAAACTTGTTATGAATTATTTTTGCACCATCATTCCGAAGACGTTGATTTAACTAGGTTAAAAATTGCAGTTATTTGTTATACCTACTTAAGCTAGGTAAAAACTGCGTATTTACGGATGCTACTCGAGACTGGCCAATAGATCCCAAATTCAGTTAGGTTTCGTAAAACAAATTTATTTTACGGATACTACTCGAGTCTGGCCACTATGTAATATACCGCTATACTCAAATAAAGACTCATAAAGTTCAATATGAAAGCTTTTATTTTAATGTAATTTACCGCTATACCTACTATGAATTTATCTAAATAAATCTATTATTTAAATTTTATTCTAATTTTGTTGATAGGTTAAAAATATGTAAAAACATTATTATTAACAATGTATTTGCGACTGTATCTTATTGAAAAAAAAATAATGTATAATCTAATATGTAGAATGTAGTTAATTTTATAGCTACAGCTAGGAAAGTGTCGACTATTCAGCTTAATGTTATTTTTTGGACTTACAATAATTTTAATAAAGTTCATATACTCGTATTATTTAAATGTCTGTATTTTTTGTCTACGATATCTACATCCTTTCCTAAGCAATCAGTCTTTAAACTAGAAAGCAAGAATATTAAATAATTTTTTAAGCAAATAAATAAAAACTATTATAATATTCTTAGTTAGACATTAACAGACTAAAAATATGGTATCAATTGCCATGTATGATTTAATATTTATATATTAATAAATAATAGCTACAGGTGGGAGAGTATCCTAAATATAAACCTTAATGTCGGGTTGTACCTATATTGAGGATTGCATTATTTTTCCTATTACAAAAGTTATTAATAGTTATTGCTTTCGCAGTTACACTTATAACTTATCACACTTAAATATTATTAGTTGGTAACTTACTACGTAGGTACGCACGTTATGATATTTTGAAAATATAATTTTATTTACATTTGTATCATCTACAAATATGTCTCACTTTTTTAATTTCGATTCTAATGTCCAAGTAGTGAAGTGTAATATCGTTAATGATAGTGAATATAATGCTACAATTAGAACAAAAATTTGCCAAGTCGATGATTCATACAGTAAAGGTTACGATGGTTGGGTTCGGAAATATTCATTATATTCAAAAACAAATTACATAGTTAGATGTACATTTCCTAACAAACAAATGTATGTTTATCGTAAAGACTACATATGCCAACATTCATCAAAGAATAAAAGTCATAATTCTGATTTGACAAGGTTACGTGATAAAAACTGCAGTGCATCAATTAAAATTGTAGTAAAAAAAAAATACTGTGAACACACAAAGAAAAGATCAATATATGCGTCAAGGTTTAGACACAGAAATAAAGGTAAGACAATTTTTCCAAACAAATAAATTATTTTATTTTACTAATTTTTAGGTTTTTAATTTATTTTATTTTCGGGTAGGTAGTATTTGTCCATACTCATAGAGTTTATAATGCTGAAGCATATAGCTACCTTAGAGTAAGCGAGGAGGTCCGCGAAAATTGTATTACCTATTTTAATGGTGGAATGACCCCTGCTGCTGCTAAAACATATCACGAAGTACAACTCACTAGTTCTATTGACGATACGGATAATATGGAGTGCATTAAACAATTAGCTAATGCACAAATCGATCCTACCGATCGTCAAATATATCAACTATTTGAAACATGGAGCCATGGAGGTTAGTAAAAATTAAATATCTTCTTGTCTTATATCAGTTATATCTATAAAATATTATTTGTATGAAAAAATGCACTTATTTATATTAGTGAATCACACAAACATTAATTGTTGTAACTCTAAGGGCCGTTCTTACAATGTCCGGTAAAGTGTCGGTTAACGCTAACCGACTGATAACAGATTTTATTACCGGCAGAATTCGGCCGGTTAAGTGTCGGTTAACTTTAACCGGGCATTGTAAGAACGGCCCTAAAACAGATTAGGTACCGTAAAAACATGAAATTTTCACTAAATGTATATACTGGCATTTTATATACATGATAAAATTTTTGAAATATTTTAAATCTTTTTAAGCTATTTATAAACATTTGAAATTTCCAATTTTTTTTAGTTTTTTTTTTTATGTCAATAAAATTTTATCCGTTGGTTAAAAAACTTGAAAATTTAATACAAGATTCCCCATAAGTTTATATAACAGCAATTTGATTAAACATGAAGCAAATATTAAAAATACATAAGCACGTTTTTTATAGCCATTTAAAGTTCAAATTTTGACAAAATTTATTTAATTGAAAGATTACAAATTCTTCAGTTGATAAAAATATATAAAAAGTTTAAATTTTATAGCTATGAATTGAAAATTTAAAACAAGGTTCCACGTAAATAGTTAATTCTGCTGTAAAAAAATCTAAAAACGATTCAAACTCAGTGTTTTTTCTAGTTATTAGTTCAAATTTGGATGGAATTACCAATTAAATAACCAAAAATAACAATTTTAGCTATATTGCTGCAATAAAAAATTATTAATCGAGGGTACTTTAAATTGTATAATGTATATACCTACTATTAATGACTGAGTGAGTTGGGTTATTTGGGTATATAATAAATCAATTATGAATCTGATTTGATTAATTTGGAATTAATTCCATAAGTATACATATACATTTTTTTTTTTTTTAATAATAACAATATAATTAATATAGTACTTAGGTACAACATATCCTAGACTGGCAAGTGGCAAACCATCTCCACTCAGAATTGTTTTTCGTATACAATGATAATATTATAAAATTGAAACCAAATTTAATACCATCCATTGCAGTAACCCAGCAGAGCGACATCCACTTACCCGCTTTTTTAGTTTAAGTATTTTTTTATATGTGTGGATTTCAAATTAATAGTTGGTATTATTGTTGCGTCTGTTAATTAGGTACTACGAGTGAGGTGCACTACATACTAATTAAATATTATATTTTTATTATACAAATCTGTAGGACAAATTTATTTGATTTTTATTTTACTTTTTTGTTTTTCTCGACGGTTTTGAAAACTATTAATTTATGTTAAATTTTCAAGTGTTAGGTTTAATAATACTGAACATTTTATTGATTTTTAATTACAAAAGAATTTGCAAACTTTCATACACATTTTTGTGTAATTCACAAATTTAAATAAGTGCATTTTTTCAGTATAAAAAAAAAGTTATTACCTATCTTTTTCTTTTCTTTTATTAGACCGACATTATATATTACATATTATCACATAGGTAGATTATTATAATTTAACCCAGAAAGCAAAGCTTGTGGTGGGCTAAATGATTTACGATACATTGACCAGTATTAAGAGAATAAAATATAATTTTACATGTTGACTAAAACATATATCACTAAAACTAAATTTTACAGATAACCTTCTATTAAAGTTACACAATAAAGTATAAATATTTACACAAATTCGCTTAATAACTAATTTTTAACCATTATTTTAATGTACTTAATATTATTAGATTTTAAAGTGAAACTATCAAAAATATTTTTTTCAATATTTAAAGTCAACGAGTTATACATAACTGGACCTGAATAATCAATGAACCTACCTCAGATCAAATTGTTTATTTGTGTACTTAATACTAACATCATATACTCTGAAATAAAATACAACATTTTTGTTTTATAGTATTTTATTTTAAATTCGTAATACTTTGTACGCACTAGGGCACTTGCTCCATTTGCTCCCCCTCCCTTATTTAGGACGGCTATGCTACATTTATTATATAATATTGTCTATGGATCATATAGGAAGAATTATATGCTAAATATTTTATTGATTTATATTAGGTTATAATTATCAACATTATAATTACTTGTCCTACCTATTTCTTCTAATGTAGGTCAACTCATTAGTCATTTTGGGGATAGAAGTGATACAGGAGTATACAAAGTCCTTTTAGAAAAAAAGTCAATGTTTGAAGAAAATGGAGGATTTATTGAAATTGAAGAAAATCCACAATAGTAACTCCTATCATGAAAAGGGCTCATAGTTATTTATTTTCGAAAGATATAGTATTCGTTGATTCTAGCAGCAGTTGTGATGAAGGTAACTCTACCATAACATTTTTTTTTGGTGCGTCAAAAGTAGGTGGCATTCCTTTAGGGGTAGTTATACATAAGCAGCAAACAAAAGAAGATTACTTACGAGCATTCAGTTTATTAAAAAAATGTCTAGGTGAAATTGCATTTTATGGACAATTACAGCCATCATTATTTATGACTGACGATAGTTCTGCAGAACGGCAAGCTTTAAAAGCTGCTTTTCCAGCATCAACTTTACTACTGTGCGAATTTCACGTTTGACAGGCTTTGTGGAGATGGTTGTGGGAGAGTAAACATCAAATAGAAAAATCTGAAAGGCAGGCTAAAGCCTAAAATGCTTAAATTTAGAACAGTCCTTTTTTCTCATGATGAAGAAGAAGCTAAAAGAGGAATGGATGAATTATGTAATGATGACCATGAACAATATTCCGAACATATGAAGTCATTAAGAAGCAGAATGGACGAGTGGGCAATTTGCTATCGACAAACATATTCAACTTACGGTCTCAACACAAATAATATAATTGAATCATCTATAAGAATTTTTAAGGATGTGGTACTGGAACGTTGTAAGGCATTTAATGCGGCGCACTGGTAGATTTTATATTTAAGGTAGGTATTAGAAAATTATCATAAAAGACGTCTAATTAAATTTGCGTCATATAGAATTACAAAGCCAGAAATTCAATATAATTAATTTTGTAACAAAGCAAATGATTTAAAAGTTATTTAGATCGATAACACATCTTATAAAGTGTCATCCCATTCTAATAATGATATATATTATACAGTTAAAGTTTATGATGGATTTGAACACTGTGAATGTGCGTTTGGTCAAGGAGGTAAATTTTGTAAACATATTTGTGCCATACAGTTGAATGGATTTAACATCGAAAATGTTGTGAATTTATCAACGAAACATAGAATTGAATTAGGTAACCTTGCTAATGGTAAAGATTTCGATCATACATTTATGGAACCAATGGACCTCGCAAATGATATCGTTCTACTAATAATTCCAAGGAGAAAAAAACTTCTGAAGAAAACATGTCAACTTTTTTCAATTCTATGTTACCTGCTGATGAAAGTATAACTGAACATGAATCGCAAAATAATATGGAAAATAATGGCTATGAACAACATTTAAATTTAGAAATCAATGTATTACAAAATAACATCGACCGAATAAAAAACATTGCTCAAAGTAACCCTAACAGTTTGATGCTCAAAAATATAAAACAGTTTAACAAACAATTGGAAAAAATAACATCATTATCTGATTTGGTTGATTTTAATTTCAATAAACTTCGTCGTGCAAATCGTATCGGAAACAAGCCAACTTCCAGATCCAGGCGCAAACGACTAATAACTTCTGGTGCTAAACGCATCCAAGCAGGACGACCGTCTTCTAAAGAACAAAACTTCAAGCAAAGGAAAAAACAGAAGGTTCGAAGTCTAGGTAAAAATTTACTAAACAATTTGCCACATGCTAAATCTCATTAATAATATTTTTAAATGACTACTAATGTCCAATTAAGAATATTATATTATATTGTTATAAAATAATAAAATAAATCTTTACCAAGTTTTTATTTATTTCCTTTATTTTTTTTTAGATTCTGAGTGGAACGAAGAATGTATATTGATTTTACAATGTTGTGTGTTTTTTTTTTTATTTTTTTTTTTTTTTTGTGTCTGTCATCACTTTTTAGGACAGTATAAGTGTTTGGATTTTCTTAAATAGTATCTTTTCTGATAGGAAAGTGAATCTAGTTGGTATTTAAAAAATGACCGCAGGTAGCATATTCTATACACCATAAAATTTTCCAATAATTTTGACTTATTTTGAGCTATTTACGGACATTTTCATTTTCTACTTTTTTTTTAGTTTTTTTACTTTAAATATCAATAAAATTTTATCTGTAGGTTATAAAAGCTTAACAATTTAATAGAAAGCTCCTAGTATATTGTTTTAAAGGCATAAGAGAAAAATTAAAAATCCCTGGTTACAATTTTTTTTTATAAGCATTTAAAGTTCAAATATTGACAAAATACGTAAAAATGACGAAAATTTGCAAATTATTTTAAGTTAGAAATTCATAAAAAATTTTCTTTTAAATTCTAAGATTTTAAAATGTAATACAAGATTCCTCATAAGTTTTTCCACCTTTGTTAAAAAAAAATTCTAGAAGGAAGTCAAATTAAATTTTTATGAGCGTTTGAAATTCATATTTTTACAACGTTTGATATTCGCTCGATTTCTCATGTAACGATTTTTTTATTTTGTTGTAATTAAATAACGAATGACTGTAGATACTTGAAAATTTTACTGAATGCTTATATTAGCATTTTCTATATACCATTCAATTTTCAAAATAATTTGACTCTTTTTGAGCTGTTTACGGACATTGTCAGTTTTCAATATTTTTAGTTTTTTTTTCTCTATAAATACCAATAAAAATTTATTTGTTGGGCGAAAAAGCTTGAAAATTTAATACAAGGCTCCTGATATATTGTTATAATAACAATCGTAAAATATTAAAAATACATTGGCACAATTTTTTATAGGCATTTGAAGTTCAAATTTTGACAAAATTTATCAACATAACTAAAATTATCAATCACTATAATTAAAAAAAATTTAAATGTTCAGTTATTACTAATTATAACTAAGGATTGAACATTTAAAACAAAGATTCTCATAAATAGTTCATACTGTTACCAGAAAATCTAAAAAATACATAAACACAGTTTTTTTTTACAGACATTTTAAATTCAAATTTGGACGAAATGTTTAATATTTATGTTCTTCAGGTATTAAAATTATTGTAAATCCAAAAAATAACATTAAGCTGAATAGTCTGACACTTTCCTAGCTGTAGCTATAAAATATATCTACATTCTACATATTAGATTATACATTATTTTTTTTTCAATAAGATACAGTCGCAAATACATTGTTAATAATAATGTTTTTACATATTTTTAACCTATCAACAAAATTAAAATTAAATTTAAATAATAGATTTATTTAGATAAATTCATAGTAGGTATAGCGGTAAATTACATTAAAATAACAGCTTTCATATTGAACTTTATGAGTCTTTATTTGAGTATAGCGGTATATTACATAGTGGCCAGACTCGAGTAGTATCCGTAAAATAAATTTGTTTTACGAACCCTAATTGAATTTGGGATCTATCGGCCAGTCTCCAGTAGCATCCGTAAATACGCGTCCGGGTCTCTAAGAATGTGCTGACCCAGCCCTTTCGGTCAAGTAGACCATCGTGAGAACCAAATCGTTCACACACTCGACTTAGCCCGAGTCAACACATTTATCCCTATATATGTATTACATACATACACATATATACATACATATTACATACGCACATACGCGTGCATGCATATACCTACAACAGTTGGTATTAAAATTAATAAAATTAAAATTATAAATTGTTTCTACAATTAGAACTTTTTCATTCTTAACTGTTATTTGTATTATTGTTAGTTGAATCCTTTTCAGAATAATGGTTTCTCATTGCTACCAACCTTCTAACACAAAACGATGTAATAATAATTATGAAACATCGAAATCTGTATCTCGATCGTAAAATTCTGTGGAATAGGTATGAATAAAATAAATGCAATTAATAATTATTAATAATTATTCGGTACTTATTAGTATAATATTTATTAATTTATACTATTTTATAGATTATACATAATGATTGTATTATTTACTTATATAAGTAAGTCTGAAGAGAAAATGTAGTACATTTTGATCTTTAGTTGTATCTAATATTATAATTTCATTGACCCTTTCACAAAAAATGAAACCAAAAATAATTATCCTTTAAAATTATGTACTTATTCATATTTTTAATTATTCACTCGGTTACTAGTAAATGTTTTGAACTTAAAAAAAAAATGCATTTGTGTGAAAGACTAAAATTGTGTAAAAAGCATCGGCCAAAGCAACAACATACATTTGTATTGCTAACATATCTAGTATATTTTAGTATAAGATTATGGTAGATAATAGGTAACAAAATAAATAAGATAAAAACAATTTGAAACATAATTTATATAATTGCACTTTACCACAAACAATAAAATAACTACAGCGCTGTAAATAAAAATGTTTAACCCTCAATTATTGAAACCATAAAATTACAGTATAATTATTCAGTTGTTAGGTTAGGTTAGGAAACAAAATTTCAGAAAGTGAATCTTGATTAAAGCGTAAATAACAAATTTAAAAAAATGGTATTTGGCTAAAGTTATATAGGTAGTTTTGACACATTATTAAAGTCTTTAAACTTATTTAGAGACATCTGTAAGACAATAAAAGGATTTTTGAGTTGACTTTTACTAAAGATCTAAAAAATGACAATGGTGACCAAATATCTATTTTTTTTTTTATATGTTTCTCATTCTGTGAATATGCATTATCCACTTCTTGGATGCACGAGTGGCCTGGAACTGAATACTTCATTGTAACTGATTTTGTTTTGGGATTTTTCAACATAAACCAAATAATGGCCGTTGACATTATCTTATTTAAGATTTGTGGCACACAGCTATCAGACCATGTAACAATATTTAGTATATCCATATTGTTATCAACAATATGTTGTAATATGTTAATAAACACACTTGCAAGGTCATTACCCGATCTAGGTACCAACAATTGTTTCATTCCAAATAGCATAAAATATAGTATTGGAAGTAGACAAATGAGCTGTAAGGTTATAAACATTTAATTTTTTTTTATAAAACGCTGGGCCGAAATTTGTTTTTGGAAGTGTGATTACATTTTGTAAGTTAAAACAAACAACTACATTTTCTTGATCACATCTATTTTTGTCTTCATCTCCATAAAGTCTCCATTTTGTCTTTCCATTCTCATAGTATCTTTTTTAAGTTTATGTTCTTTATACTGACATTGTTTATTACTTGATAATTTAAATTCCTCACATGTAGCACATAAATCATTTTTAGGAAGAAAAATCCATGGTTGAAATTCAGTCCTGTAAAGAATACTTTTGAAAAGTACTTGAGTAAGTACTCAAATACATTTTTTTTAAGTATTTAAGATACTACTCAAATACTTTAATTGTATAGTATTTCAAATACTACTCAAATACTTTGAAAAAGTATTTGGAATACTTTTCAAATACTTTTGGTTTTTAAAGTGGGTTTCTAATTATTGTAATATAGACACATAGGTAGTAAAATTATAATCATTTTTATTTATTATTTATTACATTTTTTTTTTTTTTTTTTACATGAAATTTACAATCTGTTCTTAACTAGAACAATAAGCAAATGTGCATAGGGTATTTGCGTATGATTTTTTTTGAGGGAAGAAACCACCCATTGGTGATACTACCTATTTTGTGTTCTTAATTCATTCTAAAATTTCTAAAATTATTTCGAATAAAAATAAAATGTTCGAAATAAAAAACCAAAGTATTCAATACCAAAAAGTATTTAATACAAAAAAAAGTATTTAAAATACCATTCAAAATACTTCATGCTGAAAGTATTTAAAAAGTTATTCAATACTTAAAAAAGTATTTGAATACTTTTACTCAAATACTTTACAGGACTGTTGAAATTACAATTAAATAATGATCTATTCGGGTGAGCTTTTACCGGCTTTCTAGGGTTCTAATCTATAAAGCATTTATTTGTATATAGATTGTACATTTTTGATATGTGCAACTCAGAATCTAAATATTGCTTTTTTGTATCATGTCGGCAATAATGTGATTCAACAGTAGAGAAACTAGATATATGGTCTATGGCATGTTGTTTGTCCTCTGCTTTTATATGACTAGTTGTATTCTTGTCTCGCTTTTCATCAGGCGGAGTTAATGATAGTGGGTTCATTGATGAATGACAATTAATAACCTTTTGGCTAATACATAATGTGTTTAAGAAAAAAATGTTTGCAGACTCTAATCAATAATTATTAATGCACCAGTTTTGTAGAAATTATACTGGTAAAATTTTATCCTTTAATTTATTTTTACTTTTTGAAGTATATAAGGATTTATAATTAAGTATAAATAAAATTTTATCATTTCTGCTGACACTGTAGTAGATACATGTTCAAGTCCTTTTTCAGTCAAATCATTATTGATTGATTGTTTCCAATTTTTGGGATTTCTTTGTTTTTTTCTGGTAAACTTATTATCCATTTTGATTGGTGCCTTTTCTGATGGTGATTCTTCACAAGATGATTATTCAACTAATCTAAGACATGACAAATTATTTTAATTTTGTTGTTAAATTACATTTTGGTGTATTTACTATCTTATATTATAATTACTAAAAGACATAGATTTTTAAATGTAATTTGGGTATTCTTGGGTATAGCATGCACTCTGTGCAACATGTTTGCATTTATGCAATACACTTTTAGTCTATTTCCATAAGGTTAATATAAAAATTAATAAAATAGTAAAACATAGTACAATATTATAACATAATAT